CGCTCCCCGCAGCGGCCACGGACGCGCGCACGATGCTCTCCAGGGCTTCAAAGGCTCCCTGGGATCTGCAGAAGTTTAAGGGACTTTCCTCATAACGGATTCAAGCTTGGACATCTTGGCTCGCAGCCACCTGAGAGGTAATTAGCACATGTGAATATATATATACACACGTATATACACACAAACGCCAAGCTAAGGGGGCCCAGAGCCCTTGGCAGCTTTCAGCAGGCCAACTGCTCCCCTGGAAGCTCAGCAGGTGGAGCAGACCACGCCATGGCAGCTGTCTACAGTAAAAGAAACAGGATGATTTTTTTCTTTTTTATTGTTTTTTAGACTCTTCAGCTCAGAAGTTTGGCTTTAAAACTCAGCACCAAGTGCAAAGCCATGCAGTGTCAAGCTTTAAAACAGTTTAAAAGCTTTTTGCTTCTGACTGAACAACCACCAAAAAGGAAAAAAAACCAAAAAAAAAGAGTGCTTACTAGAGGGATACACACACACACACACAGGGTGAAATCACAGGGGCCAACAAAACCGCCCTGCACCAAGACACGCTGCCTGCGAGCCGTGCCGCGCTGGTGCTGCACACTAACCACGCACAAGCAGGGCCACAAAAGGTTTTTAAGGTTTTTTTCCTTACCAAGGGCAGCAAACAGCACCTCTGCCTCCACAAGAAGCCCTGGAAAGCCAAGAGTAAAACGCCGGGGCTTGCCAACAGGTGAAGCGCTGCCCTTGCGTCTCCCCACCTGCACAGCACAGAGCAGCAGAATCACAGAATCCCAGCATGGTAGGGGTTGGAAGGGACCTCTGTGGGTCACCCAGCCCAACCCCCTGCCCAAGCAGGGTCACCCAGAGCAGGCTGCACAGCACCGCGTCCAGGTGGGTCTGGAATATCTCCAGAGAAGGAGACTCCACAGCCTCCCTGGGCAGCCTGGGCCAGGGCTCCGTCACCCTCGCAGCGGGGGCTTCCTCTGCTGCAGTTTGTGCCCATTGCCCCTTGTCCTGTCGCTGGGCACCACTGGAAAGAGTCTGGCCCCATCCTCCTGACCCCCACCCTGCAGATATTTGTAGGCATTTATAAGGTCCCCTCTCAGCCTTCTCTTCTTCAGGCTGAACAAGCCCAGCTCCCTCAGCCTTTCCTCACAGGAGAGATGCTCCAGTCCCCTCATCATCCTTGTAGCCCTGCGCTGGACCTCAGCGAGGTGTGGATGCTCTCACCACAGCCGGGCTGTGGGCTGGAGCCAAGCACACTGGGGCAGCTCCACAGATGCCATCGCCTTTAATCCCATTTTTACCCTCCACGGGCGAAGAAAGGGGCTGCCGCAGCGCACCCAGCCCAGCCCTGTGCCGGGGAGGAGCAGGGTCCGGGTCCATGTCCAGGTCCAGCCGCCGTGGGGCCGTGGGTGATCCCACTGGGAAGCAAAGTGGGAGCGCAACATCTCGCTGGGGATGTACTGGTGCTGCATTTCAGAGCTGGGGGCAGCTGGGAAGGCTGCTTGGCCAGCTATCCCCAGCAAAAGACACCAGGTGCCTCCTCATCAGAGACCCTTAATGAATCATCATTAACAGAGGAATACAACCAATAGGAGCAGATAACGGCAATAAAAGAGAAATAGTGCAGCCAGGCTCTTTCAATCTTTAAGATCGAACTGCTCGGTTCCTACTTTTCTCAACTGATTTTGATGAGGAACAGACATTGTCTCACAGGGAAAGTATTTCCCCCCCGCTGGAGTCTCCACCAGCGGCTGTTTTATCCGCAGACCTGCGTTCGCCATTACAGCGCTAGGTACGAGGGGATTTACGGCCTCTGATGAGGAACAGGAGAAAGCCAGGGGTTACCGGCAAGGCTGGCAGCCGGGCTCCAGCATGGACCTGCGGAGGAGGCGAGAGCCCGTGCAGGCTCCTGCACCCATTGATTTCCAGCTGTTTGGGTCCTGCCCCACTGCTGAAGCCATCAAAAACTCCACCTTCCTCCCCGCTGCCAACTCCACGCAGCAAACCACCACCCCCTGCTCCTCTGTCTCCTCTTCGTGTGCTGGGTACTGTCTACAAGCCTTTGCCCATCACCTCTTCTCCCCAGTTCACGCCATGAAAGCACTCTGCCAGCCGCTGCAGGCTCACCTGCCCGCTCCCAGCAGCGTACGCCAGCTCAGGGTGCTAACGGGGTGTACAGCACCCGGCCGGCCCAAAAAATGCACACAGGTGAGCTCACGGTGCCCCACAGGGATCTACGGTTCACAGCCAACGCCACTGGACATGGGGCCGTGCATTTCTGGACAGTCTGGAGAGTTGGGCAGAGAGGAACCTGATGAAGTTCAACAAGGGCAAGTGCAGGGTCCTGCACCTGGGGAGGAACAACCCCATGCACCAGTACAGGCTGGGGCAGAGCTGCTGGAGACCAGCTCTGTGGAGAGGGAACTGGGTTGTCCTGGTGGATGACAGGTTAACCATGAGCCAGCAGTGTGCCCTGGCTGCCAAGAAAGCCAATGGGATCTTGGGATGCATTAAGAGGAGTGTGGCCAGCAGGTTGAGGGAGGTTCTCCTCCCCCTCTGCTCTGCCC